TTTTCTCATTCCTACTGCAATCCTTGTGATGATGCTACTGACGTATGCTTAAGCATCCAAAGAATTTGGCAAAATAAATCTGAAACTCTGACTCGGTTGTTCCAGTTTCGGATTGGTTCCAGGCGATTTACAAATCTTTGATTCCATGACTCCACACTCTTTTTCGAATGCAGATTTTTGCTTTTTTCCCTACATATGTATTTTTAGTCCGCTAGGAAAAGTTAAGCGCATCCTGATGAAATAATCGAGATACTTCCTGAAGACGTTCAAATTGTGCATTTTTACCATCACACGAGCATCATTTTCTCCTACTCTTCAATCCGAAATTCAATGTCATCATACAGAAGATGCACAGTTTGAACGTCGGCGCATAGATAGGTTTGACAAGCGGAACAATTGATTGCAATATGATGATTTGTAGCCGTGTTAATACTGAAGTTATGAACGACGATGCATGTGAGTGACAACTCATTAAGCATTCAAATATTCAAAAAATAAACTGAAATAAGCGTTGAAGGGGCTTTGAATTGTGTGATTTTGTTTCCTGTTGCCTATACATAAATATGTTCTTTCGTTCGTTTTCAATTCAGCGCTGAACTAAATCTTATATGAACTACTTTATGTGAAGAAATATATTCGAAAACATCAACATCTCGTAAGTATTCCACTTTCAATTATTATCTGCAAAAATTTCAAATTATTGAGACCGTCTGATCAGCATTTTTCAATACCGCGTAACACTGTAACACTGAATGGACCTCATCAATAGCGAATAATTTCTAGTTTTAGGATGGATGCAAAAGAAATCAAAATTGCATTGACTTTGAATAGGGATACTTGATTAAGCTGACGTACGCGAACAGGGAGCATTCGAATAGACGAGTTCTGGTATCTACCCGAGAGTGCAGTATCAACTGTGCATTTTGATTCGAATGTATCAGATTTAAATGCATATCAATTTTTCCATACGAATAACCGTTCCTTCTAAATTTCAACTCATTCAGCGTCATCGTTCCAGCCAATTATTCAACGCTAATTTTCGATTTACTGCAGCAAGAATTCGATGACATCAATTATTCTCTTATTTGGTTTGTCTATAGCCAGACTAGTCTCAATTATTTATCTTTTAACTTGGTATGTAAAGGAGAATCTAAATGACTGGGAGTGCATTGGTGAATACGAAACGAAGGAATTAATTGACGCCTTCTCAGAAATCTATTACTGATTCAAGTTGTCTGCATAACACTGACATTTCCTGAACACAGCATAAAGTGAATGGCTCTTGTTTATTTATTCTAATGCACTCTTATTGCTCTCTATTCTCTCACTGTTATTCATAACCACTTTCTTATGCTTCCAAAGATGCGCAAACTTTCAACATTATCTGCACTAGCTCTTGCATTTTTTCTAAACGCAATATTTTGTTGAAATCGTAAATATTTCAGCTAGTCGTTGAACGAGATCTCAGCAACTAGAATCGATGCTCTACATTTTGGCGATGTGCTCGTTTGTAGTCAAGATAGCACCCGTCCTTTCCCCGCGCAAATAGCAACCCCCCTAACGTCTACACTGGCCTATCACTCTACACTACCCACCAGGCTACACCGCTCTTGTCCGATTACCTTTCAAAACATTCCTCAAATGCACTTAAGAAGATTGGCAGTGATTCAAGTATAACCGGACTGAATATTACTACAGCTTAACACTTGTGGCATTTACCTATCTTTTTTATCTATTTATCCGTTTCATCCATTTTTTATCCATTTACATGTCTTTTTTTGTTTATCCGTTTTTGCAATTTTTTACTTTCACTTGTTCCCTTGTGCTGAGCTTTCATGAACTGACTTTTGTATTTCGGTTATTTTGACTTTTATGAACTTTCCGGTTAGGCAGCCACGCGATTTGCGATTTGACGTAGTCAAGGAGAAATCAGAATGTAACACACGTTCTCATCTGGATGTAGCACGTTTTCTCGATACAACATAGACCTGTTCATGATATTTGTGCGCTTAATTATTGAATCATTATCCTTAACGTAGGACAAGGAATGACGCGCCACGGTAAAAACTCGACGGCATCAGCTGTCTATTCGTATTCGGAACGAAAGAAGGATGCAAGGCAATCCGGGTATGGCACTTTACATGAACGACTTGGAGCTGATTCCATTAAAGAATTTGACTGCTGCTCTATCACTCTTCAACCGTGTCGGTAAGTAAGTTTTCTCTGCACTAAATCACTTTTCCGTATTGCGATTATCTGATTATCGTTGCAGTGCAGCCATATGCAACATTACGTTCGTTTTAACGAATTTAAACAGTGTGTAGAAATAGATTCATGCCTCAACTCAACATGCATTGGACGCAACCGAGGAAATCTGCATGAACTGAATTAATTTTTTTCATTTTGAAATTTGCTCGCAGTAAAGATGAAACTTTTTCAAATTTATTCAATCGCCGATTAGTTCTCGACAATTGTAATGTTTCATTACCTTGTGTTAGGTTTTTTTTCCTTTTTAGCTAGGCGAATAATTGTGTAAATCGCAAGGGCGAAATCAAAGTTCTCATTGATTCTGCATCACTTTTAGATAAAATTACTGATGTTTTTGGTAGAATTATAAATCGATGATGCAAAAGTCTTTCATATTCTATCCTCACTATTGGAGAACGATATACCGAACTTGCATATTCCTCGATTCAGCGGGTAGTCGGCTTTATCGAATCAACCTTTTCATTTTAGTCTGTTGAAGCGAGGGGTGAGCACATATAATTTCTTTCAATAATGAGTTAAGCGCGTAATGCCGCGATCTAAACAATGTAGGCAGACGACCTGTTGACCAGTCCGATTAATCATCTTTTAAAGAACCGAATTTCACAGAGATCCTCTCATATCTCCACATGGATACATATTCGATCGTGAAGCGGTGCTAGAATATTACTTGAAACAAAAGAAAGAAAATGTGCGTAAGCTGAAAGAATGGGAAAAGCAGTGCAAAAGGGATGAGAAAGAAGCGCAAGAAGTTAGTGCTCCTCTTGATTATGTTCGAAGTTTTCATTTCTTGTTCCGTTATGATCTCATAAAACTTTACTCGTTTTACTAAGGTGGCATTGATATTGCAATGAAATTGTTCGTGATCCACTTCAAAATATTGTTTGCTGTTTGAGAAGTGGTGATGAATTTTAGTCGAAGAAGCTAAACGAAGAAATAAAAGTGAAAAAGTTTATGATTTGTGAAGCAACGCCCACACATCCAGCTATACGTTCCAATGTCGACGATCAAAGCACACCAACCACGTCCGCTGGTGCCACCGCTTCTGGCAGTAATGTTCGTTCTTTTATCAGATTTTATGATTCCTTTGAATTATCGCCAAAATTTCTGTGTGATTTCACCTTCAGCAACAATATTTCATTGTCTGTTCTATGAGTATGTCACATACAAGTCGATATCTTGTGTGATGTTCAATTTTAGTTGTTAGTTTCAAGTGAAATTCGTGAATGCAATTTATAGATCGGTAGGAAGAGGCATGCTTCAGATGAAATTGATGAACTGATGGTTAAAAAGAAAGCCGACGGCACGAGTATTTCGAATGTGGCTGGTAATAAAGCTAAAGAAAATCCCAGTTTTTGGGTCCCTCAGCTGAACCCAACTGCCGAAGAGGCAAAGTTGCAGAAACCTGTACGTATCATCAATATGCTTGCCGTGTTATTTTGTGTGCCTTTCAAATATTTGATTTCTTTCATTCCTTATTCATTTTTTTATTTAGTTCGATCAGTATTCAAAATTCATGTAATTGTTTTCGTTTGCATGTGAATTGAATGTGCCATTGAAGTGATCGATTGTTTTGTGAAGTTATTTATCCCTATCAAATTACAAAGGACCAACGAGTGTTCTGTCCAATGTCCGGCCAGCCGTTGAAAATCAAAGAACTGATGCCGGTCAAGTTCACAAGAATTCCGGATGATGATGATGAACCGAAGTCGATAGTTGCGAAGAAAATTCGATATATGTGTCCTGTCACACACGATGCACTTACTAACACAACTCGGTGTGCTTATTTGAAAACGAGGTTCGGCCTTTTTTAATCGTTTCTTTGTGGGGCCGTTGAAGTTGGGAATATTTGCATACAACAGGGGATTATGAGGATGGATAAGATCAAACACCAGTGTCAAAGAATGTTGTTTGCAGTCAGTCAGTGGTCACGATGAATTGCGTAGAGAAGATAATTCGTAAGGATATGATTGATCCAATCAATGGAATGAAACTAGAAGAAAGCGATATTATTGAGTTACAACGTGGTGGTACAGGTTTGTTATTTTTGCTTTTGGTCATTTTGATTCAGCACTTTTCATTCACTTTTTCATTTTGCATCAGATAATAATTACATGAATTTTGAATA